TTCCGGCTTGGATCGGATGGTAAGCGTCAGCGTAGAACACAGAGTTAACGTTGGTCATTCTTCGTGGTTAATTTGGGCCCTGAGACTCCTATTTACATTTTACAGTCCCTTGTTTACAATTTGAGGAGTTGATTGTCTCAAAGCGTCCTCAATTCTTCAATAAAATTTAAGATGTCGAATTTTTGCCAATTTCAAACAATGGATGTTGATTACTATGTAACTTCCGTCTCAAATCTTTAATGAAATTAGTGACGTGCCAAATGGAATTCACGTGTTGCGTTCTGTCAAGTCGTTAACAAATTATCATGTTTTCGATTAATCAATAAACTTAAAAAAAGGTCGTTGATTGCTTACTAAACTTTTAAAATGTCTTCGATTGCTCATTGAACTTTAAGGTGGTTAAATTTTGATCACTAAACTTATAAAAATGACGTTCGTCTGCTGTTCGTTAAAAAATGTGTACTGCAAATGCACGGATCGCGTAAAAGTAATGAAGTAGACAAACGAGTCCGATTTGTCAATCTCATGAAAAATTATTACTCAATTACACAATAGTTAAATTTAATTTTAACATATTTTTATAGAATTTTAAATTATTCTCATCATTTGAAAATACACTATTCATTTAATTAAAATTATTTTGTGTTTTGTTGCAAAATTCATTTAATTAAATTTAGTCATGTTTGGTCTCCATTATTTTCAAAACGTATTTTTTCTTATTTTCATCCACACACTCTTCAATAAAATAATATTACACACAAATCAAAAAATTTCCTTATTTTTAACCATACATTTTCTATCAAAATATTATTTCAAAATACATTTTAGACAAATACTCTCGAATAAAGATTTAAATTTTTTATCAAATAAAAATAAATTTCTTTAAAAACTTCAAAGAAGCTTAGCAAAAAAATGTAATTTTCTTTTCAGCTTATCCATGATGGATAATAATCTCTCGAGTTCGAGAATTTGAGTACAAGAATGAGAAATTAAAAACTGTATAAACTTGAATTCATGGCTTTCCTTAAGACGTTATTTCCCCCTGCCAAACTTGTAATGCACATGGAAATTCTCGAACATACAATTAATGAAGCCTAAAGTCTTGTCTGCATGGTGTAAACATGAAGACAACTCGAACATTGAAAAAATGAAGAAATTTATACTCAAGGTTTATTTGTATCTGACAAAGTATAAATAATTATTTGTAGAGAAAAAAAATGCACGAAGAAATAAACTCGCACTGAAAAATGTAAGTTTGGTGAGCAATCAAAAGCGTAAACAATTTGTTAACTGCGTGACGAGACTCCACATGTGCATTCTGTTTGTCACACCACTAATTCCGTTAAAGGTTTGAAACGAATATCTATAGTTTCTTCATTACCATCATAATATTAATTTTATTTTTATCTGAATTTATGCAAATTCAGAGTAGCTTGAAATAGAAAGTATGAGAGTGAAGCGACAAAATTTATACTAAACAAATTAGGTTTTACACATAAAGTTAAACCTCGACAAGTAATACCCTTGGGATCGGAAAAAAAATATATTCATTTAGCGAGGTTATTTAT